ATTTTTTTTCATGGCTCTGGCACGATTTGTGCATTAGCCAGCGTTAAGTATCACTGGATTTTTTTTAATAATTCGTGCTTGTTTTTTAGAAATTCGACAGTGTCCTCTATGTACGGTTTAAGCACTCGCCCGGTACCGCACAACCCTCCCAAAGGCCGAGAACAAATTTAAATTAAATTAAAACTTGCCCTCGAACCGGGAATCGAACCCGGTACCCCTCACCTAGCTGCCACTTAATAAGACCGCTAGGCTATGAGGCCCCCGTACCGTTTCATTTTGACATTAGAGTCTTTATTTTAATGGCTCGAGCATTAGTCGATAATTCATAGATTACAACAACATTGACAAGTCAAATAAACAACTGTATTACGGTTTTGAATTAATTTGACTTTGATGCATATTAAAGTACAATAACAATGGCAGCTGACACTGACGCCATTGTTCCAACAAAATAAATTACTTTTAATAACAGTGACTATGGAATCACGTTTACTATGGAATTTAAAATAGTCGTTAATTTGTAGATCTATTAGTATTGGAAATCGAATAAACTACAAGAATTAATCGTTTTGAACTAATTCGACTTTGAGTTTGTTAATTTATAAGCTGTGACATAATGACAATGACAGTTGACAGTGACGCAATTTCACTATGGCAGCTGTACACTATAACAAAGCCGTACATTAATAATTAGTCGTAATTCCTGATTTGTACCTGAGAAATTCTATTCACTAACGTACTCACCTGTACCGCTCAGAAATGACGGCATTGTTCTCAGAGTTATTTTCTGATATAGTAACAGCCTTCTAAGCGTTATTCACGTTGGTTCATTTTACGGGTATTTTTTTTCCATGGGCTAAAATCAGCAAATTTTTCAAAATTCCTCTCCTTCCTCACCTTTCGAATTCTTCGCGATTATAACGGATTGAACAGTGCTTATCCGGAGCTGGATATATTCCGTAGTGGGCTGATCGGTTTTAGATAAAGCAGTTTTAAGGTTGATTGGTTCAGAGTTAATTGGTTGTGTTAAAATAAAACTCCCTAATTGTTTGTAGAGAAGAGGTGAAGATGGAATGAATTTTATTTTCAAAACTATGTACATTTATACCCAAAAATTATCCTACACTTACTACTAGTATTAACATGTGGTGCCAAAATGCGCAGGATGCGTAGGCGATAAAAACGCAGCGCGGCAAAAAGTTGACCCTTTTCTGCGCGCGCCGCGCAGCCGTCGAAGCGTACGAACGTGTTCTTCTCAGAACACTTCGATATCGTAGCCTAACGATAACGCTAATAAACTGTTCATTTCAGAACATATTATCGTATCTTACGAAAACGTTTATAAACTGTTCTTTTCAGAACATATTATTGTATCTGTAAGATAACGTCTAACAACTGTCCTCTTACCGTGTCTTACGACAACGATGACAACTGTTCTTTTCAGAACACACGACCGTTTCTTTAACTCTTGATCTGTTCTTGTTAGAACTCAACACTGTTTCATTACGACACGTAAACTAATCACCTACACATTGTTGGGTGCCTATCTCGAACCTAATTCGCTGTTTTGCTGATTATTATTATTTTTTTTTGCTTTACCAAAAAATTCTTGTATTGTATGCTTATCTTATCTTGTATATTTTTTAATATGGTTTTTTTGTAACTTAAATTGTCATACATTTTAGATAAAAGAGTTTGTGACATATGCCGTAGATTTAGTACTATGTATAATGTAGTAAACTTTAGTAAATAAATAAATAACAATATACGGAAATATTTAGTGTTTGATTATATTTCGAGACTGGGCTTAGCAACTAGCTGAGCAACGAATGTTTAATTAGGTATAAAAAACCTCTTACTGACTCGCGATATCCAAATAGTAATTATCACATCCCAATAACAATAAATCACCTTGAAGATTACTCTAATGTCAATTTATTTTAGACGAATTTTCCTACGCTCTCTCACTTACTTAATTCATTACTTGCCTTTAGAGAATCCCTCTAGAATAATAGGAATTTTTAATACCTTAAATAAAATAAATCATTGGCACTATAACCTTTTTAGGTCTGACCCTCAGACTTTTTGTATGTGTTTCCATTTCTCAATCAAATATGCAATTAGATGATCAGGGGCCTACCATGAACTTTTTTTAAACAATCCGGTTGAGATGCAGCGGAGTTTAGGTACCTAAAGTCAATAGCATTTTTTCGTACCATGAACGCCTATAAGCTGAAACGTATATAAGTGTAAGCATCGCAAGACCGAATGAAAGAACGATAATTTTGTTTGTGGTTTCTGTGTACGTTTAGAAATTTAACTGTCAAACTTACTTCGACAGATGTTTCGATAAAAATAAATAAAATATAAAATTATTTTAAATAATTCGTCAATCACAATAATCTATTATGTCTTAATATATATATTTATTTTATATAAAACTATTCTTTTGATATATTTTAAACGGAAAGTTCTCTGGTGCTATGACAGTTGACACTTATTATTTTTAAACGGTGTTTACAAAATTTCGGTTTTATAAATATAGTTTTACAAATTGTTTAACTTATAAAATAATAGGATGGGGTACACACTGGTTCACAAATTTGTTTATTAAAAATAAATACCTATTACGAAGTGAATTATTGATATAAAACCCTTTGCAAAAGATATTACAAATCAACTTATTACTCAAAATTAATTGCTTCAAATTGTACAAACTCAATTTATACGTTAACTAATTCATATAATATAAATAATTATACTTTCTTTACAGGAAAGCCCCTCTTTATCTCCCAATACGGCTGGTCACCGCGGGGGATAATGACTACAACCTTCCATCTCCACTACAAAACCTCGATGTATGCACTTACAATGCAAAATCTTTTCTATCAAATGAAAGATTATTATTATGACGAACCACCAAACTATTCCAATAAAGGTTAATAACTGTACATTACAATATGTTTAAAGCTATGTTTACCTGGGTCAACAAGTATCTTTCTCAAAGACAAGACACGAAGATGAGGTTATAAGACGAGTCAACATAACCTGGAATAAATCCTGGAGCAATAAAGAAACCCTTAAATCAGAATTTTAAAACTTAAGAAAAAAATAATGGACTCATATTTAATACCTTGTCTTACATATGGCTTCCAGACATGGATTTACAATAACTACACCAAAAACAAAATACAAGTGTGCCAGAGAACGATGGAAAGCAGTCTACTAAACATACAAAGACAACATCGGAAGAGAAATATAGAAATAAGGAAAACAACAAAAATAATAGACGCTATAATAATAATAATAATTTTCTTTACAGCTTAACCTGACAAAATCGCTAAATTGAGAGACTATATGAATAAATGTTTATATCCAATTGAACATTGCCTGAAGACATCTTTTTCTATCTTGATGGAGTCATCCTAACTAAATAAATACTGTTATTATAATATTGTTAAATGGCTTATTATTTACACATTATAAATTTAAAAATACCTATGTTTTTTTAAACAACAAAAAGCAGAGGAGAATAATACAATTCATGTACATAGTGAGGAAAAATTTAATTATAATAAATATCTGCTAGTAATATGGCATTCTTATTTATTGTAAAATATGATATTATATTGGGGGATTATGTTTTTGTTAGACATGCCTAAATAATTAATTGAATAATTGAACAATGTGCAATTATTTGTAGGTACACTGAAATCTTCAATGAATCAAAGTCAATAATCTATAGTAAATTATAAACTCAATATCTACGAAGTCAGTAGAAGGGCATTGCCTTCTTGTTTCTCATTTCCGTCGATATTTTAATAATTTATTTATAATCACACTCTAAACTCAAAATACCCCAAAATATCGGAAATATAAAAATTATATTTTTTTTCCTATATTAGCCATAGTAGATAAATCTTATTATTTTAACTTTATTAACAAGTTTTAATACAAATATTGAATTTTATAGGTTCTAAACTATTATTTGGACATTTCGATACAAAAAAGTTGAACAAAAAGTAACTTTTTTAGAATCGCTTATTCTGTCATAGTTGGAAGGCGCAACTGTCAAATTTCGGTTCAGCCGAGCGGTCATGGTACGGATTTTCATACAAATTGAACGAACGAAATCTGATAACCGCTAAGGTCACGTGGGAACATATACTGTCTCGTTTTTTCGATGTCATTGTACGAATTAGCGATGCATCTCAGTTGTAGGTTGTCAATAGGCTCGCAATAAGAGTCCTTGACAGACGCCGTCGACTTTTTGGGTTTAAGGCAAGCCGGTTTACGAAAGCAAATATTAAATGCGCACATAGAACGAAATTCCATTGGTGCATAGCCGGACGAAGACAGAATAAAAGTGTAATGCGTGCATTTATGATTTAAGCTAAATCAAAGCTACTAAAACCAGAAGGAAATAAATTGTGCGTGTACTAGGTGTACACACGTAAGAAGTGAAACTTCTTTATGATCTTATTTTTCGAAAAATGATCTACTATAATATGCAACTTTACAGAAATTCGTTAAATTAGATAAAGTTTAACAAAAGGCTTTTATTATCATAGACATGAATACAAATATTTCATTTTACCTTATTACTACGAAGATTATTATAGAATTTCATTAATTGTAATAGAATTATTACTATCATTGAAAAACGTGACAATTTGCTACAAAATTTCTCCCATACGTCGATAAAGAAGTTTCATTCCAACGCCGATAAAGAAGTTTGACTTCGAAAAGCAACATGGCGCGTAACCGAAAAATGTGACGCGTAACGAAAAAATGTTACACTAATTTTTTTCCAATATCGATAAAGAAGTTTCACTTCAAAAACTAATTAATTAATAAAATTTCATATCACGATTTTCAAGTAGGTACAATACAAACGAAGATTCTGCGAATTCGTTGTTAATTGACATAACAACATCGAGATTTGCTTAAGGAAGCACTGGTTAGTGTGTGACCGGCAAAAGGACGGATCGACTGGCATTATGAAGCTCGCTTTATTTTTTAGTAAGTTATTTTTATTATTTTATTTCCAACACACCAATATACATTATTAACAATAGTCTTAACCTATGAATAATAATAAAAAATCCATTAATACAAAATTGATACAATTATTTGATGAGCGAGGAAAGCACCAGCTCTGGGTTCACCGTAATTACCAGCCAACTTAAATCTTTCTTATTTTTTTATTCAAGTATGTAAAGTTTGTTAACAAAAATAAATAACAACTATAACCTACTAATAATGTTTTGTGGAATATGTTTATACATTCTGACACTACTGGATTGATTTTGAAATAATTAACTTAAAATATAAGTAGATAATTATAATTATATAATAATATAGCCGATGGCTGGCCATGCGTCATGCTCGTGAACGGGTGCTGCTTGTGGTGACTGGTCGTACTTGAATTCGTGTATGCGGTGATGTTGGTTATTTCGACTATGTGTTTGCGTGTTGTTCCCACGAGAATGTAAGTGCGTGCTCCTATTTCACCATGCCTTCTGCTGATAGAGGACAAATCTTTGTATTTAATTTATGTTATTATTATTAATTACTTAAAATGTCACATGGGACATGGTGTAATGGTTGCAGCTCCTTACAAAGATTTTGTAATACGAAAAAATGGCGATTAAAAAGAGTGGCGGAGAGTTTATTGCCAGTTCTTCTCTCCCGTTCTACGCCCTTGATTTGAGAACTGGCAGTAAATGTAAAATTAGAAGCATTAATATCTATTTCATGACAAGTCATAAATGTACATTATGTTACCAATGTGATTAAATGATTTTTTTAATTTTATTTTAGTATGTACTTATATACTTTGTCGTGATTCATGAGACTAATATACATTGTAAAATACACCTTGACTCCAGTGCATTAAGACGATATAAATTGAAAAGTAACAATTAAACAGCCTTGCTAATGGTGGCCATAGTAACAAGACTATTGAGTTTTCATATACATTTTAGGGGGTACATATCGATAAACTTTTTGAGGGTATTTATTTTTGTTTAACTTTCCAATACATCACTTTCACACGGCAAATAATTGAAGGATTTTTGTATGTATTTGTTTAATCTTTTGGAAAATTAAATTTCCAATATGGAAAAAGACAAATGAGTACTTTTTAAAACTTTATTAGACTTTTTTCATAAAGGCGTATAAGACTACATAGGAGCAGTAAATATATATGACATATTTTCTTGTAAATATACCCGTATAGGACGCCACTTAGTACTTTTGCTTATTATTACCAAATAATCTGTAAAAGAGTCGACAGTCCACATCTTTTTCTTAACCTTTTTAATTTGACAACAATACTTTCTTTACTAATTATTACAGATATGTATAGTCGATAGATTGTACATGTATATTTATTACGTTATTTAGTCCTTAAAAGTCGGCTTTTTATAGTTGAAGTGTTTATGAACTGTTGATGATGTAAAAAAGCAACCATATTTTAAGGAAAAAATCACTTTCGTGTAGTCTTGTTTATTGTAATTTTTTTACGGGTATATTTGAACATTTTTATAATAGCGAGCGCGATCTGTAGATTTGTATGTTCTTTGAGGTAGAAACCCAAATGTTATACAGTGTAAACTCTTTATAACGAATTTTAAGGGACCGATTTTTCTTCGTTATACAGAATTTTCGTTATATATTGGAGGGAAGAGAAAAAACACCAAATTTAACCAATTACAATAATTTGTATATAATAATTAGGTGACAATTGTGCGTTCTCAAAATATCCTACAGGCAATGTTATCTAAAAATAATGGCACACGTGTTAATGCAATTAACAATAACAAAGGCGAGAAGGCTGTTTATGACCTCAGGTGTCTTTCTTAGAAGTTTCGGCACCGGAGGATAGTTTCGTAAGCTAAAAACAATTACACTTAAGTATGTTGTTGATGTCTTAATATGAAAATATTTCGTCGTAATAGAGAGTTGCTGTTGCGTTATAAAGAGTGTTGTCATGTATGGGTTTTGTGTTAAACCAAATAAATTTCATCTCTTATTTACGTTATAGAGAGTTGGACTGTATTATTTTTTTTATGACCTTTCAACAGGTCCCCTGTTTCTGACCACAACTGCTGTATAGTAACTGAGGGCCTTATATGAATAATTTACACAATCTTCAATACACGGCGCGGCGCGGCACATGCCACGATATTTAGTTAAAATGACGTAATAAACAAACCATACTTCTATGGCCTTGAATGTGAACAATAAACGTAAACGGGGATTTTTTAATTTTGCTTAAATGTTTAATAATACTTGAGGAATGCTTAATAGGATATTAATCTATACTCATATTATAAATACCTATTTTTGTGTCTCAAAAAACACTGGATATCCAAACTCCTTCACCTTTTATAAGTGGTTATTTAATATTTTTCAGTGTTATCAGTGACGGCTGTCACGATGGCCAACGTACTATCCCGAGGGCTCAAAAATGCAAATGACCTCTTCACATACAGCATGTTCTCTGTAAGTTTTTTTTACTATATATTACACGTACGACGAGACAATATGTCTAATGGCAACACGTACCTATGTATATAACTATATAATATGTAGTTTGGACTCAATTTCCGCACTTAGATGCTCATTCGGTCGGTTGTGCGTAATGTCTTGACTATTGAAACCCGCCCAGCTCCTTCCAGAAGCTCAGATGTTTCCTGGGCACTTTGCAGTCTTCGCGGAGTGACCTCACTGTTCCGAGCATTTCTGTTCGTTGGGAAGCCATAGCTACGCATTCCAGATTCCAGCTGTTTCCTCGGCGTTGAAACAGCCTCTGCACAAGGGTCTATCTGTCGCACCATGCACGAGGTGGCAACACGTATTTGAAACGAATTTTCTTAGTTGCCGTCGAAGAGTTACCGACTATTATTTTTAAAAGAAATTTAATTTAAAAAAAAGTTTAGCAGCCGTATAGCTAAGAGATTAAGACCCCGATACCCGGAAAGCGCCACAACTTATAAAAAGGAATTTAGGTAATAATACAAAATAATATCGGAATACTAGGTGTTGACAAAACGCACGACGATCAGTTTCCCATTCATTTGTAGGAATAAAAATTGGACTCCAAGAAGCTTGGTGTGCTCAGCAAGGCAAGACAGTACTCCACTCCAGGCCCGCCTTGCAACTGAATAAAGCGCAAATAACGTCCCACATGGTACTCTCCGCTTGGCGGGAGCTCCCCAGTACCAGCTCCTTCCATTTGACTACATTTAACGAAAAGAGGTTGGAATCTCTTTTCATCTCTTGGCGTTGCGTATAGATATTGGGTCTCTCTGTATCTTCTACCGCATTCTCAAAACAACCATCCCCTATAGGTACCGAAAAATGATTGTAGGAATTAGAATTATTTAACATAATATTGCAAAAAAACTCTTCAAAGTCGGCTTTAGTCAGCAAAAATGGACCGCTTTCAAAAATTATTTTACTATGAAAAAGCTGCATCTCTACTATTAAATATTATAGAAAATATTTGTTATATATGAACTGTATTTAACCCTTTTCAGGAAATAGTAAGAGAAAAGCCTCAACAGAGTGTGGTGATGTCACCATTCTCCGTTTTGACCCCATTAGCCCAGCTCGCCGTTGCCTCTGAGGGAGAATCACACGATGAGCTTTTGAAGGCAATTGGCATGCCCAATGATCATTTGGTAAGTGGAGGCAAATAAGCGAAAATGATATTGCAAATTATTATTCACAGGCGCTAAGTATATAGAAGACGCATGGATCTGGTTAGCGCTGCATTTTAACTTCGCATGTAATTTTCACACATGTTTATCCTTTATATAAAATATTTTCTGTTTGTTCGATTGTCATAAAATGTGTTATGTTTAAGAGCAAAAAAAATTGTGAGTGGAGTCCTTCCGCGCGGAAGAAGTGAAACTTCGTAATGTGGAAATGAAAATAGGTCGCATTCACTCTCGCTCTGTCTCTTTCTCTTCCCTCTCCCCAGGTGCGTTATACGTTTAACGCAACCTTGTTGAAAGTCGCAATAATAAATACATATTATTTTACTTAATATGTATAATCATTTCTTAACCTTATCCTATCCTGATCAATCGTGACTTGTATAGTTCTTATGTTTCCTTTTTCATCACTATTGCTGTTCATGAACTTGTAAGATTAGCTTTTAAGTTTTTAGTCTGTTATTAATTTTTTTGTATTACTTTAAATTAAGGTTATATATTTTATATAACATTTGGTTCTGCACTTCTCGCACGCATTATGTTTCTTCTTTTTTTTTTAGTTTTTCTCTTTAACTAGGGTTGCCTGGAAGAGATCGCTTATTAGCGATAAGGCCGCCCGTTGCATCCCTTATAATTTTTATGTATTGTGTTTCTTTTATTTGCAACGAAGTGTAAATAAATAAATAAATAAAATAAAGTAAAGTCAGCTGCTGTTGTTATTTCGTCGATCGAATTTTCTTCGTATAATTATAACACAGCGTGGAAGTTACTTTGTGACCGGTTTGATAACAAGCGTTTATTAATACAACATCATGTTACTGCGTTATTTAATATTGAATCGGTTACTAGGGAAACGGCGTCTTGTTTAAAAACTATTATGGACCTGTTAAATAAAAATCTCAGAGCATTGGATTCACTGGGCGAGCCCACAAAGCATTGGGACACTTTACTCATTCACATAATTACTCATAAGTTAGATAGTAAAACTTATCGTGAGTGGGAAGAGTATAAAGGTCGTTTAAGTAATGAAACGCGAATTGAGCTTCAACATTTCCTAGATTTCATGAGAGCTCATATTAATTTGCTTGATACACTTGAGTTTTCACGTCAATCACACCAAAATAGTTGTAGTAGTGGTAGTAGTAGTTGTTATAAAAATTCAAAAGTTAAGGCTATGGTTACAACACAAACCAATCACAAGAACTTAAATAATATTAACGTTAAAGAGATTTGTCCTAAATGTAATGGCGAGCATAAACTGAACATGTGTTCTCAGTTTTTAGCCTTAAATAACGAAGAGCGTCTTCAATTATTGCCAACATTTAAGGTTTGTTTTAATTGTTTCTCCAAATCTCATTTTTCAAATAATTGCAAAAAATCAGGTTGCAAAATATGTAAGAAAAAACATTCAGTTTTAGTTCACGTTGCAGATAAGCAGAAGCTGTTAGTGCGTGGTGAGGGTATTGGTTCTAATGCTACTCCCGCCATCAGTAATCCGGATAACTTGACATTATCAACCAGCGTTTCTTCCGCCGGTCAAGACAATAATTGTCGCCGCGGAAATTTGGTTTTATTATCCACTGCGTTAGTCAAGTTATACGATTCAAACAATCGCGAACACGTCGTTCGTGTTGTATTAGATTCTGGTAGCACATCTAGCCTTTTATCGTACAGGATGTTTCAACAGTTAAATCTGTCGTATAATAAAATAAGTCAATCCGTTCAGGGTATTAATAATGCAATTACCCAAATCGATAAAATGTGTAATCTGCGTTTTAAGTCATTGGATGACTCATTTACGTGTAACATTAATTGTTTTATTTTACCATCATTAACTGATACTGTACCAAACAGTACAGTTAATATATTAAATTTAAATATTCCTACGAATATTTGTTTAGCGGATCCTCATTTTTATAAACCCGCGTCCATCGACCTTATATTAGGCGCTGATGTATTTTGGGATATAGTAGGAAACCAAAGTATTGAGTTAGGTGATAACAAACCTACTCTTTGTGAAACAAGGTTAGGTTGGATAGTTTCTGGTCCATTAAATAATTCATTTTTCTCATCATATCCACTTAAACCTATTCAGTGTAATTATTTAAATAATAATTTCAACGATGATATTATTTTAAATCAAAGCATTCAAAATGAACTTTCAAAATTTTGGCATTTAGAAGAAATAAATAGTTCAATTTGTTCTAGTTACTCATCAGAACAAAAGTCATGTGAAGAACATTTTGTGGAAAATACTACTCGCTTGTCAGACGGTCGTTTTTGCGTTAGAATTCCACTAAAAGAAAGTCCTACTATCTTAGGTGATTCATTTCAGCGAGCTAAACAATGTTTTTACTCTTTAGAACGTAGACTTCGGACAAACCCAAAACTTTATGATATGTATCGCGATTTCATGACTGAATACGAATCGTTGGGTCATATGACAGAATGTGGGCTTAATTCGAATAAAAATGCATATTTTATCCCACATCACGGGGTATTGCGCGAAAGCAGTACCACCACTAAGTTAAGAGCAGTTTTTAACGCGAGCTCACTTACTTCAAATAATATTAGTTTGAATGATATTCAAATGGTAGGTCCGATGGTACAAGACGATCTTTTGTCTATTCTTTTAAGGTTCAGACAACATAAGTATGTTATCGTCGCTGACGTAGAGAAAATGTACCGAAAAATACTTGTTCATCCTGATGATAGATACCTGCAGCATATATTATGGCGTGACAACCCATCTCAATCCCTTAGAGCTTTCCAATTAAATACTGTAACATATGGTACCGCGAGTGCACCATTTCTCGCTACAAGATGTCTGAAACAATTGGGACTCGAATGTCAAGACCACCAGATAGCAGAAGTCATTCTCCATGATTTTCTCGTCGATGATTTGTTGAGTGGGGGGGATGATTTGTTGAGTGGGGGGGGATGATCTGAATGTAGTGAGGAATATTCGCGAAAAAGTAATAACCACACTGGGCTCAGCTGGTTTATTCCTACGAAAGTGGAAGTCTAATGAGCCTCAATTAATTTCAGAGTCTGCAACAGAAGCCTCGCATAATCTTAATGTTGGGGGGAATGAGCCAAGTAAGACCTTAGGTTTAGGTTGGTTACCTGTTTGTGATGATCTTTATTTCCCAATTGGGTTTTCTACTGCGGCTAACACAAAACGTAGTTTGCTTTCAGTGATCTCGCAAATATTTGATCCTTTAGGTCTTCTCTCTCCTGTTGTCATTAAATTTAAGATTATATTACAAAGTTTATGGTTGCAGAGTCTATCATGGGATGAACCTCTTCCTTCGCATATCCAAGCACTCTGGATGGATGCTACTAAAAATTTAAATGTGTTAAATAATTTACGGGTATCACGTCATGTAATGATTAACTCGTATGAACAATTAGAAATTCATGTGTTTTCGGACGCCTCTGAAAGGGCATACGGTGCCTGTTTATACATACGTAGTAGTGATCGTAACGGTAATGTATTAGTACGTTTATTAACAGCTAAAAGTAGGGCAGCACCGATTAAACCAACTACAATTCCACGGCTCGAGCTTTGCGGAGCTCAAGTGGCTGCAAAACTATATAAAAAGGTTTGTAGTTCGTTAAGAATTAAAGTTACGAATACATTTTTCTGGACTGACTCTTCCATTGTATTAGGTTGGCTTAAGATGTTGCCAAGTAAATTAAATACGTTTGTAAGGAATCGCGTCGGAGACATTTTAGAAATAACCGGTGATTGTGAATGGCGTCATGTTCCTACCGCTCAAAACCCAGCTGATTATGTTTCCCGAGGAGTTAAAGTCGATGATATTGAATCACTAAACATATGGTGGTCAGGACCAAACTTTTTACAGAAGTCTTATACTGATTGGCCTTCCATTTTAGTACAATGTGAACCATTGCCAGAAATGCGTAATGAGGTATGTTTACTTAACATTGCTCATCCTATAGAATTCATTCAATTTGAACGCTTTTCAAATTTTAACAGACTAAGACGTGCTATAGCTTATCTATTTAGGTTTATTGAATCGTGTAAGGGTCGACGCGCTGTAACTAATTACCTTACTGAAACAGAATTAAGTAATTCACTTAACGTTATTATTCGTTCTGCTCAGAGAGAATCTTTTCCAGAATATGATATTATTTTACAAAAGAAAGAATTACCAGTTAAAAGTGCGGCGGTCGTATTAGTAACTCACAATTTTCATATGATAAAAAACATCCTTTACTATTAATGTCCACACATCGATTAACACAATTAATATTTCAACATGAACATTTGAATCTTATGCATGCTGGGCCACAGTTATTGTTATCCTCAATAAGAGAAGTGTATTGGCCTATCGGTGGTAGAAATTTGCTAAATTTCTACTTATAGACGATGTATCAGGTGTACACGCATGAAAGGAAAGATTGAAGCTCCTATTATGGGTAATTTACCCCAGCGTCGAGTAACTCCCGGTAACTATCCTTTTGAGTCTGTTGGCGTGGACTATGCAGGTCCTATTGCTTCTGTTACTCGTCAAGGTCGAGGCTCTCGTATTGTCAAAGTTTATATAGTTATATTTGTATGTTTTACGACTAAAGCATTACATCTGGAATTAGTGGGTGATTTGACAAGTAACAGTTTTATTTCTACTTTTCGTCGATTCATTGCTCGTCGGGGTAAACCATTGCACTTATATTCAGATAATGGTACTACATTTGTTGGGGCTTGTAAAGATTTAGCTAATTTCTTAATGCGTAACTCTGACTCTCTTGCCACTGATCTCATCAATGATGGCGTAAACTTTCATTTCATACCTGCTTATTCACCACATTTTGGTGGAATTTGGGAGGCAGCAGTTAAATCTACGAAATATCATTTATTAAGAGTATTAGGGAACTCTAAATTAACTTTTGAAGAATTGTATACAGTTTTAACGCAAATAGAAGCGATTTTAAACTCTCGACCACTCACTCCTTTATCAACGCACCCTGAAGATCTGACCCCACTGACCCCTGGACATTTTTTGATCGGACGTCCACTCACAGCTATTCCAACTGAAAGTTATGTAGACCACAATTATACTCATATTTCAAGATTTCAAAGAATTGAACAGCTTCGTCAACATTTCTGGACACGATGGAGCAAGGAGTATATCTCAGAACTCCAAAAACGGACAAAATGGCAAACCCAAGTAAACCCTTTGCAAATTGACTCACTTGTTTTGCTAAAGGACTAAAATTTGCCACCAATGAAATGGAAGCTGGGTCGCATCGTGGCGCTCTTTCCTGGTGCAGATGATGTTGTTCGTGTCGCAGAGATTAGAACGTCTACTGGAAATGTGAGACGATCATTTTCGAAAATTTGTCCATTGCCGAGTGGATTGGTTGAAGCCAAGCCTTCAACGCCTGGGGGCATGTTGGTGCATAGTGCCTGAAAACTATTGAGTAGCAACTACTACAGATGTCTTAACTGCTACAAACAGAACAAGGCGTGTTTTAGCTTTTAGTATTGCTTATTCCATTCCGATTACACCTCTGATCAAGGAAACATCTTGTTTGATTTATAATCCTTTTTTCAAGAAAAGAAATTACTTTTAATTTTATACTATCCTGCGTTAACACCATGAGTGTTAGGGCTGTTCCATACCAATAATTTGTGTAATTGATTTAATTGTCTTTGATATAACATAACAATTTCTATAAAAATTGAAAATATATATTACTATAATACATAACATTGTATTATGCGTTAGGTTTTATAAATTCCGATTCCAGTAAAATCTACCATTCTATATATTATAATCATATCAGCCTGAGAAGGAGTTCAATTGAGAAGCACTAAATAATATTCAATTGTTGAACTTATTAAGCTTTTGCATAGCTTCTATCGCGGGCCTTGAGATTGGAGACCGAATCCAGAAATTCCGTAACGTAACGTGACGTCTCACATCGGGTGCAGCCGGTACGCGTTAGAGTGAGACAGTCTATATAGGCATGTTAGCTAAGGCTAAGTCTGGTAGAGTGGTAGATTATGGAATTAATATCAAAGAAAATACTTGAATTAATATCAAAGACAATACTTGAATTAATATCAAAGAAAAAAATACTGCATAAATAAAAAAATAATAAATAATTATAATTGCATAACTTGATAAAAAATGCTATGCAATAGCTTTACCGCGGCAGTCCCCGAGTGCCACACATTTTTTTTTTTCATACAATATAATCAGTTTCAAAGAATAGAAATGTTGTATCTTACTTATTTATATATTTCAGACGAAAGCTGCATTTTATCAGAATGGACAGATCCTCAAATCAGTGAGAGGTGTAAATTTTAAAACAGCAAGTAAAGTATACATCGGCAACAACTATCAACTAAATGAAGACTTTGCAACGTCCACTCGTGATGTATTTAATTCCGAAATTAAAAATATCGACTTTTCACAAGCGCAAAGAGCCCCAAACGAAATCAACTCCTGGGTAATATTATATATAATTGAAATACTAGATATAAAAACAGCTACAAATCTCAAATACATACGCACACACACCACAATTTTACATATTTTTCTAAATAATATATAGACTATAATAATTCTATCTAAAGGTGCGCTTACACGGGCAACTAAAATTGCTCAATTCCAGTCAATACTCGTCAATTATGACGTCACGACTACATCAAGCAATTTACGGCAACGGCAACAAGCATCAATACTGCGCAATACAATATTGAGCGATATGGCGCAACTTCATCAACTAGGCAATACTGTCATACACGAGCATTTCAGTTTTCGCTCGCTATGGACGACATTGTTCTTGCTGCGGCGGCTTGTAGCGCTTTTTTTATCATTAATCAAAAACAAAAAAAGAAAGAAAAGGAATAGGCGTATCTGGGTGCGATCGTTTTTGGCAAAGAGGACAAAATTTTCATTATGTAAAGATGATATATTATTCAAAAACTTTACTAGAATGTCACGAACAGACTTTGAATTACTTTTGAATAAAGTAATTAGAAATTATTATTATTTAGACCTCTCGCTCTCCCCGCGGAAGCAAGACGGCAAGCTGCAAAACAAGTGCGAATGAGACATATACAAAAATTGCTAGGAATTTCCAAGTCCATTGGATATTCGTCAATTCGTATCTACGACATTGAGCGATATGAAATATCTGGAGCAATTAGAAGCAATATTGCCGAAATAATTTATTGCAATTTATTGAATTTATTGAAATTGCTCCATTAATTGCTCCAGATCGGTCCATTCGTGTCGCCGAGCAATTATTGTATATACACGTATAAAATTTGCAACCAACCTAAGTGCACGGAACATTTTTTGTTATTTATTTTATTTTCGATATATCTGTCAAATTTGCAGAACTTTTGGAACGTTTTCCTTCAGTTTAATAAAGAAAAACATTAATTTTTAATAACAAAAAATGTTTCGTACACTTAGGTTGGTTGCAAATTTTATACGTGATATGAAATATTATATCGAAAACTTCCCCAAGTTTGCAGAACTTTTGGAATTTTTTTCACGACCAAAACTTATTTTTAACAATGTTCCGGACCGCAGAGAAGGTTGCAAAATTTTAGAGTTTGTTTTAATACCACTCCCGACCTTACATCAAAATTTGAAAACTTTTGGAATTATTATGAATTAATTGTCTTGACTGACTGGTCTAATAGATAAAATTGTCTATTATAAGGTGGGTATAGAAAAGTAAGTAAAAGTTTCAAAAAGCTTCTCCTCATCAGATAGGTTACCAACCTGCCTGTCTGGTGACGTCTAACTTCTAAGACTTTTCCGATTCATTACAAAAGTATTAATTTTTGGTAGTTTTTAAAGGAATTTCAGTAAAGCAATTTTATTAATAATATTTATTTACAGGTTGAAGACCAAACTAATAAAAAAATTAAAGACCTCGTTGATCCCCATTCATTGGATGCCGCTACTCGAGCTGTTCTGGTGAACGCTATATACTTTAAGGTAACTAGAACATGTACAATAATAAACATAATATATAAATAAGTAAGCTTTGAAGTAAGTAGCCTTGGACACCATGGCCTCCATTAGCAGAAGAGAGCTGGTCGCCGCTCTCTTGCCTCCGTCAATGTCCCAGCCATTTTGGAGCCAACAAGCATCGCAAGAGATGATGGCAAGCGGCCGGATGGGATGTCGCTGATCTCTTGGAAGAACATTAAAGCGGAAAAGCTGCACAACTATAAATAATATATATTTATAGTTGTGCAGTACTTACTTCAATAGCAAATTAAAAAAAAACACAAACAATGAAATTCAAGCATATACACATGTATATGCTAGAATGTTTAAACAAAGACGGTTCATTACAAAACAAGTCGCTTTCCGCGGTCCGCAGCATAATTTCTGTATGCAAAATCCAACACGTGTTTGACATACGGAAGGAACACTTAGCGCTGATTCTGTACTATCAATTCTGTAATTAAATTCTAACTTGAATTAAGAAAGAGACAATACTTTTTATTCCTATTTTTTATTTAATTTGATAATTTCTCTTTTCCATTTAATCGTGACTTTTGTTTATATATGTATTTCATTTTATATAATCAATATGTAAAAATAATATATATTCTAATTGTATGTATTTTTAATATTTATTGTAGAATCTAGCATTGTGGTTCATGATTCTTAAGATTAGCTTTAAGTTTCTTTTTGTAATTGTATAAGTTTACAATGTTATCTGTAATGTAATTTTTTAAATTACGCCCTTATTGTACTGTACCTTTAGTATCTCTTTTTTCTTTTTCCTTACTAGCCTGGAAGAAATCGCTTGTTAGTGGTAAGGTATGTAATATGTATCAAATATGAAATGGAAAAGTGTTAATAAATAAATAATTCCCTATTTTGGGTTATAGCACGATCCTGAATGTGTGATATATATAGTACTATGTATCTGTTTTATTAAATTTCAATATTTACATCTTTTAAAGGGTCACTGGAAGATTCCGTTCAGACCTTCCGCCACAAATGACAGGCCGTTTTATGTTACAAAAAATACGTCAATTACAATTCCAATGATGTCCCAAGAATCTGACTTCAAATATGCTGAGGTCCCGGAACTAGATGCCACGGTAAGATCTATAATATGGACAGTATGTTTAATAGATTTTTTTTAAATGAGGTGAAAATGCGCTTACGCATGTCCGCACCATGGATAACGAACTTGACGCAGGGACTGTGGGGCTGGGTCTACACTCAAAGCCTTCGGCTATTCAGAGGGGTAGCGTGAGCCTATTCACTAAAAACACCTCAGCCCTCCACATGCCCTTAAGATGGGCCCTCGGGCTTCACCAAGGCATTCAACCCAAGGGACTTATTTCCCATATAGAGCTCAATCAAGCCCTGCGATTCCAGGCCGCTTGAGACCGAGATCCAAGCCTTTAACCATCGGCCAGTCTATGGTCAACCCCAGACCTCTCCCTCAATCACTCAGCACCCTCCTTCTGCAGCATTACATGCTGACAGAAGGAGACCATTGCACTCCAAGCCTCCTCACTTCTTAGCATAGCCAATATAATACCCGGTAAAGTGAGGTCCACCCCAATGACCGATACCAGGTCATGACGCTCCCTTATCCAGGTGACACTCAGCCACAGTATGCTCCGCCGATATTTAATTCATATACTAGATACATCAATCTATCTAGAAACATATATCTAATTAATAGGATATTAACGAAATTGAAAAGAAAGTCAGAAAAACTGATGAAGAAAATATTTTTTTACTGATAAGGCATTTAATAATTACCATTTCTTACAGATTCTTCAATTGTTCTATGAAGGAAATGATGCTTCCATGATACTAGTACTCCCGAATGAAGTCGACGGAATCACGCGGTTGGAGGAGAAGTTGAGAGACCCATCAGCACTGAACGACGCAATTTATAAGATGTACTCAACTAAAGTGGAGGTCACAATTCCTAAGTTCAAAATAGAGACTACAACAGACCTGAAAGAAGTTTTATCAAAGGTACGTAATATTGACTTCCGACGTGTTAAATTTTGTAACATATTGCGTCTATTGAAGTAAATGAAGATTTTTGTGAGGTTTTAATTTATTAAGACATTTTTAAAACGACAAGAATGAAATTTGTCTAATTACTATATCTTTGAACATCAAAGCGTCGGTCTTGTCTTGCGAGCCTATTGTCGAGTGTCCATGGGCGGCGGTATCACTTAACATCAGATGAGCCTCCTGCCTGTTTGTCTCCTATTACATAAAAAACATGTTCCGTTGCTCTAGCATATTCAACCAACCTTTTTTCTTTGTTCACTAACTTGGAATTTTTAATAATATCCCCTACTTTTGATAAGGCGTGTGCTGTTACATTATGATGATGATGATGATGTTCTAGCATCTTCAACCATCGTTTTTTCTTTTGTCATTGTTAAGATCTAATACAAACTTGGAATTTTTAACAATCCTACTTTTGATAAAGTGGGCGTTGTTAAATCATGATGATGATTCTCTAGCATATTAAACCACCTTTTTGTTCATTGTTAAGATGAAACACAAACTTGGAATTTTTAACAAACGTACTTTTGTTGAAGCGTGCGTTGCTAAATTCAAATCTATTAATTAAAATGAAATATTATTTCCCTTAGATGGGCGTTAAAAAATTGTTTACACCCGGCCAAGCTCATTTAAGTAAACTGATAAAAGGAGAGGATGAGCTCGAAATAAGTGATGCTATTCAAAAGGCTTTCATTGAGGTCAATGAAGAAGGGGCTGAAGCTGCAGCAGCTAATGGTAAGTCGTGATAGTCAAAAGTCAAAATCATTTATTCATATAGGTAACACAATGTAGGTACACTTATGAACAATATATATTTAAATACTTCTAATTTTACACTTACTGTTAGTTCTCAAATCAAACACGTAGAACGGAAGAGAAGAACTAGCAATAAACTCTCCTATAAATATCTATATAAATGATGTGTACGATGATATATGTATAGTAAATATCCCCCTTAATATTATAATAAATTGTGTGAGATACACAATGATACATTGTGATATCACCAATCTTCAGGTAATTTAGTTTTGTTAAATCGGTAAAAAATTATCAATTGTTACCAAAAAGAGCAATGGCCTAGTGGCTTCCGCGTGCGACTCTCATCCCTGACGTCGTAGGTTCGCACTGGCTGTGCATCAATGGACTTTCTGTGTATTTAACATTCGCTCGAACGGTGAAGGAAAACATCGTGAGGAAACCGGCTTGCCTTAGACCCAATAAGTCGACGACTTGTCTATTAAGAAACATAAATGATCATGAAACAGATCTGAGACCCAGACCTAAAAAGGTTGTAGCGCCATTGGTATTAAAAATTTATTATGGAGAACAAAACAAATCTAAGTCGATCCTTAACAACATCAAACATTTGAGTTATTTAAATAATGTAGCATTCGTGTTTATATTGATGAAGTTTTAAATGTCTAAAAAGGTTTTAATGACGTAAATCACACAAAGAATACTCTTTAGTCTACGTCCAATCAGGAGTAATCCTAGAGATAATTATACTTTTCGTCTTTAAGTGCCATTACAAATGGATATTAATATTCCTTCTGTACGGAATTTAATAAAATATCTATCATTCGTTTATTTTCAGTATTCGCTGTTGGCTTCGCCGCTGAATTTATTCCGGAACAGCCTAAGAGGTTTCTTGCTGATAGACCATTCTACTTCGAAATAAGGCTCAACGATTTAATCATTTTCAACGGTGTTAAAGCTAATTAAAATTACTTTCCTAAGAGGAAGAGGAAGATGACATGTATTTAATAAAGTGTTATTTGAATTTGTTGTTTTAAACGAGAAACGAATAACTTATATATAAAACTCTCGTGTCACAATGTTCGTTCCCATACTCCTCCGAAACGGCTCGACCGATTCTTATGAATTTTTTTTTATGATACAGCATCCAAAAATACAACCCTTACTTACACCCCTTTACGATCATCCCCTATTTTTATTTGTTAATTAAAATCTTATGACTATAACTCTGAGGTTTATATAGAGAAAAATTCACAGAAAATCCGAACCGTCACTAGGGTAGCATAGCAAAATGTTGCAAGTTCGTCCAAATTTACTGAGAGAAGCGCTATTTACGCGTGTCTTGCGCATCCTGAATATTATTGCATGTGAGACGGATATATTCAGTTTCACGCTAGCTGAATTCACAAGAATTGCATTATTTATAACTATTTATAAAAAGGTTTAGGTTTTTTGGTTTTGTTTATATTATGTTTTTATATTAATAAGTTGTCCATCGTATTAGTATTAAATTACTGTCAAAATAGGAAATAAATAAATAATAAGTGCGCATGTGCAATAGTTACTCATTTGACTCGTTCGGTTGTTTACGAATTGAGTCGAACAACTGCCCAAAGTGGGATGGTCGGGTCGGTGTAGGGAATGGATTATAAAAGAGGTTGTTACACATGCGCACGAGCAATTCCTTTGTTCAATTTTGAAGTTATAGACTTTACGTAAAATCAGTTAAGTGAATAATAGTAAATCAAGTCATCATTGGAGTGTTTAATTTCCTACCCTAAGAACTAGATCAACTTACACTATATAATAGCTTATCTAATTTTTATTTTATTAGTTAACTAGTTATACAATTGACAATGCTATTACTGTAAGGTAGGTACGTTAAGAGTGCTGTCACTGCGCAGAAGTTAAATAAGGTATTTAATATTTATTTAATTCCTCGGCTTATTTAATAAATGGTGCGTTATGTTATACTATGCATAGCTTTTAAATAGAATAATACAATAAATCAGTATGGTAACAATAGCAGTCTAATCAGAGCGCGACAAATGCATATAAAAATTATTTAAGTCATATTGTATTAAAGAAACGACCGAATTATTTACTACAAAATACATTTTACGGGATCGTTCAATAATGATAATTTACCTTTAATTAATTCAAAAAGTTTTAATAAAATTTATACAAAATATTTTTTTATACAAGTATGTAATTCGAAAATATTGCTGTTTTGACTTATTTCACTGAAAAGTCTGGCTGTGTGTTCCTATGTACAAAATAATGCAGCTGATACTTCTCAAGAAATTCGTGAATCAATGGTTACTAAAGTTGCTTAGAATTGGTTTCATGAAATCATCACAGTGGTTAAATATCTAAAACCGTTCACTTTCGTTCAATATTAAAGTACAATAAGATTTTTTCGACTTTGACTGAGAGTTTCGAAAGGTCCTCTTCGTGATTCCCCATAAATCATCTTAAGTCGCTCTTCTTTATAACGAATTTGTACCCAATCAGAAAATTTAAAAAATAAGTTTTATGTTATAAATAAAACGAACAACGGAGACATCAAATGTTAAAATCTAAAAAATAGTACACTACATAATAGTTTACTAATAATTTATTTCGTAAACAGCTAACATAAATAACATATGACAAAAATCAACTGCATACTAAAGATATAGCCAAAGACGGAATACATAGGCTAATTACAACCACAGCACACACACATTGCACACTAGAAGCAAGTCGAATGGGAAAAGGGAATTAATTTTTTTTATTTTTATTGTTTATGATATGTCTGATTTTATTTTTTCTTTGAGTATTGTTATTTAGTGTGTTTATGTGTGTGTGTGTGTTTTCGTATGTAATAAATGTTACGTCTATGTCTAGATTAATAAAACCAATAAATAGTTTTGCATTTAGATATATCCTTAAATAAATTTTAAGAATTACTATCAAAAAAAAATTAAAATATGTTTGTTATGGAACACAAAATACATGTATCACTTATTCTACGTCATTAAATTTGAATTTGTAGGCATCCCTACTCATCGGCAAAGAAGACAGAGGGTGTTGGCCGAGAGAAAAAGCCGGTGTAAACTCTCGGTACTTTTTTAAAATAGCAAATCAATATCACGCATTTAAATACAAACTAAGATTACTCTGTGAATTCCCAATGACCCGGTATGCTGTTATGTCAAACAGACATAACAACATCGAGATTACTTAAAGAGTACACCTTTGTGAAACTGGTTAGAGTGTGGCCGGCAAGAGGACGGATCGACTGGCATTATGAAGCTCGCTTTATTTTATTGTAAGTTATTTTTTCTATTTAAATAACATATATTTAGTATTTTTGATTCAATTAACACCGAATAGTTTTTAGTTTATTTTTTGTATTAATTTAGATGAAGGTTCTATAATTTTTTTATAAGATTTGGTTATGCACTTCTTGCTCTTTCCTATATTTTTTTTATTAAATTAAATAATTTTTAAATATAAAATAAAAGTAAAACATGAAATAAACACATTGGACACATCCACAAAAAGTTTCACTAATAAAAAATAAAAAAAACTTGAAGGAAGTAGGAAGATCAGTTATATAATTGGAAGGTTTCGCAAACTCCGAAGATCAGTTATACGATTTATTATATGAATACTGAATTAATAACGACAATTGTAAAACCTTTATTTTAACCGGTTTTTTTACACGCTTTACATTAGCTTCACCTGTATGTATGTATGTATGTATGTAACCGACTCCTTCGGACTCGATTTTGACCCACTTTTAACGGACAGATTTAATTCAAACTTTGCGCACATGTCAAAGATTGATGACAATGCAATAATCCGAAAAAAAAAATTAAAAAAATTAAACTAAAAAATAAATAATAGTTTAAAAAACTAGAACACACGTTTTTAAAGCACATCAAACTAAAAAGTAAAAAAATTCCTAATTTAAGCTGAAAATTGTAATTTCACAATAATACCAGTATTTTTTGTTCATTAACAAAAAATATCAAACTATTATTTATTATAATTTTTCTTTGCTTTGTTAGGAAGTACTGTGGTGTAGCCCTTCAGGCCCTAAGGTAGTCTGGTAGACTCCATAGTAGTTTTTTTTGGTGTTGTCTGTACTACTAGTTTATTTATAATATATTTATTTAAATTTGTTTTGATTTTCTTCTTTCTTCTTTATTTATTTTTATTATTACTTTATAGGTTAAGAAAATTGTAAATACTGTATATTTGATATAATAAACAATAATAATCAAAACGAAAAAAAAACTATTTGACGATTTTAACCAAAACTTAATAAACTTGCTTCAAATGTACATCTAATTGACGTTATATTAATATTAACGCTCCTTTTTAATATTTAATTGCTAACATAGGTTTTAACTTTAATTTGCCATTTGACCTGAGTTATCCAAAATTGAAATGAACTAAATATTGAGTGTTAAAATTCGCTAATATTTTTCAGTGTTTTCTGTGGCCGCCGTCACGATGGCCGTGTTAGTACCGAGATTTCTCAAAAAGGGAAATGATGCGTTTACAACGAGAATGTTTTATGTGAGTATTTTATATATCTATATAATGTATTACAAAAAAAATATGTATTTTAATATGTTTGTAATTAATTAATGAAAGTACTCCACATCATTTATCAACAGTATATATGTTACAAGCTATATTTTCTAAAATATACGACAAAATAATATGTTACAAAAATTAAAAATACTAGTATTTTTTTGTTAAGCAAAAAGTTACTATCAAATCAGCGGATTAGGTATCATAGGCAACAATATTTTTTATTGATCAGCCCACTACCGAATATGTCATGCTCTGATAAGTAAGGTTTATTCCGTTAAGTTTGAAGATGAAGTCATGAAAAATAAGAAAACGAGCATGGTAATTAAAAAAAAGCTCTTCCTGTACTAACTTATGGATCGAAAACTTGGGCGCCTACTAAAGCATAGAAAGCTACAGGTGTGTCAAAGATCGATGGAACGATATATGATAGGGAAGAAAAGAATAGACAAAATAAAGAATACAGCGTTAAAAAAAAATAACTAAGGTAACAAATTTTATAACAATAAATAAACTAAAGTGGAAATGGGCGGGGCATATGGCAAGAGGAACCGAAAAGTGTAGCAAAAACTGGTGTCCAAGGTACAGCAAACGAAAAAGAGGGAGACAACTTAGATGGTAGACCTTCTTTAATGTGGTCTATTAAAGAAACAGCAGGTACATGGCAGATAGGGGCACAGTGCAGAGAGGAATGGTGGGGTTTGGAGGAGACCTTTGTCAAAAAGGGTACACAGTACACTAGAAGAGGATTAAAATGGAAATGTGTTGAAATGTAAATCTGAATTAAACGTAAATGTGAACTAAAAGTAGGCTATTATTATTCCGTTAAGTGAAATTAATAAACTTAAAAACTTTAAGAACTTTGAGAAAATATTATAAAAAATAATTATCTAGTGAATTATAAAATTCTACTTGTAAATTATTTATTTATTTATTTACACTTCGTTGCAAATAAAAGAAACACAATACATAAAATTATAAGGGATGCAACGGGCGGCCTTATCGCTAATAAGCGTTCTCTTCCAGGCAACCCTAGTTAAGAGAAAAACGAAAAAAAAAAAGAAACATGATGCGTGCGAGAAGTGCAGAATCCTTAATGTAAAGTAATACAAAAAAGAATATTAATAACAAACTAAAAACTTAAAAGCTAATCTTACAAATACATGAACAGCGAATAGTGATGTTTTTGAATTAGCATACATTTTCCAGTCAAATCACCAATATAATGAGTAAAATGCATAACTCCGATATCAATTATGACATATCGCAATTAGAAAACATGTGTAATCTTAAAATTTAATTATTGTTCCCCCAAGATGTAACCAGTCTATCCTAGACTTGAAAATAGACGGGAAAATTACCGTTTTAACTGAGCTTGTCTTTCAATGTTTATACGTAAAAATTTAAGTAATAATTCAAATCGAATATAAATTTTATAAAATAGCCTCATTTTTATTATTTAAAATAAATATCGTCTGTTGTTTATATTAAAATAAAACTCCTTCAACAACCAGAACTGTAAGCACTCGAAGCGTCGAGAAATGTAAATAATGAATTAATGATTGCTTTGCATTTGATTAAAATACTTATTACGTTATTTACAGGAAATAGTGAAGGAGAATCCACAACAGAGTGTAGTGCTGTCAGCATACTCTGTACTGATCCCATTGGCCCAGCTCGCCTTAGCCTCTACCTATACAACGCATGATGAACTCTTGAAGGCAATTGGCATGCCCAACGACGATGTGGTAAGTGAAGGTTATTCGAGGGATTCAAGTTACTTTAAATTATAATTTATTTATTTACTAATTTTTTTATATAAGTTAAATATGTTATATTGAGTCCACTATTAAAGTACATCACATATATTATGCATTTTCTATTGTATAGGTAACAATCAATTCTAAAATACATGGCTAAGTGAACATAAATTTTATAAAAAAAATTACACTTCCAATTTTAGTAATTACTTTTTTATTTAAAATACTCAATCGCTTAATAATGCTGATATACTAGTGTTAGTTAATGACCTTTCATTTTAAAGCTATTTATTTTATTGTAAGACGAATTCAATACAGCCGTACTTGAAGTCGTTAGTCGTAAACCGTTAAAGTCATTAAACATTTAAGGTCCAGAGACATCAGCCTTGCGATTCTGTAACTCACTTTTCGAACTCTCACAGCGGTTTTCACAGCGGCGGTCGCGCTCAGATCAGTCGTGAAGCAGTCATTTTTCGATTTGGCATTCTGATAAGGAGGGAGTCTGTAGTTTATTGTTTATCAGAATACCAAATCGAAAAATGACGACTGATTTGAGCGCGACCGCCGCTGTGAAAACCGCTGTGAGAGTTCGAAAAGTGAGTTACAGAATCGCAAGGCTGGAACCCAAAAAGGTATTTCACGGCCTATGCTTTCTTATATCGTTAACTAAACAAGCATAAATGCTTGTTTAGTTAACGATATTAAAAATTTAGCGCAGTTTACATCATTATTACAAGATGTAATTTAATGCTTCTTTCGTCTCAAAAGTTTTTTTTAAAATGTTATGTTTCAGATAAAAGATGAGTTTAAACAGGCCAAAAGAAACTTCAATCCCATGGTAGGAGTGGCATTTCACACAGCGAGTAAAATATACATCACGTACAAATATCAAATAAATGAAAGCTTTTCATTGACCGCCCGTGACGTGTTCAATTTCGATGTCGAAAACGTAGACTTTTCTCAAGGACAGAAAACCGCTAGCGAAATCAACGCTTGGGTAATAAATACATTTAACAACAATAATTTCAAAATTCTAAACTATCATTATTCAGACATCAATTTAAATCATTGTAAAATAATTACAATGTAGCTACCTACAGGCCTAGAAATTTTAGTCTAATCCATTTCAGTAAACAAATTAAGACAAGAATAAAGCTTCATATGTTTGAGGCGAAAACGGTATTTTATGACCTTTCTTAGATTTCCTATACAGCCTTCGCAGCAGTGGGTAGGCAGTTGATTTTTCTGCCAGGGTATATAGTCTGGTTTAATAAAATTTTGTGTTTCGTAAAAACATATTTTAATACGGGTTTTTCATCATAATTTTTTTCAGAATTTTAGTGTCTCTCTCTCTGTCTCTCGTAGATTTTCTATACAGATTTGGCAGCTGAAGTGGTTAGATAGTTGATTTTTCTGCCAGGACAAATAGTCAGATTTTTATAAATTTTTAGCAAAAATGTAGCGTTTACCTAAAGCCATCAATCCATCCATACAAATCTACAATGCAATTAAAATCGTTATCTCTTTGTGAATTTCATACAAAAATGGACATGTTGCAATTGGGTTAACACAAAAATTAATTACAGGTTGAACACGAAACGAATAAAAAAATTAAAGATCTCGTTGACCCGGATTCCTTCGATGCCTCGAATACTCGTGCTGTTCTCGTCAACTCTGCCTACTTTTCGGTAATATACAAAAAAGACAATCAGAAACTTATAAATATTATATGATGTAGAAACGATATACATGTGTGAAAATAACTCAAGAAGCCGCAGCGCTAGCCAGATCCATGCAACTTCCTCACAATCGAGTTGCCCGCGATATTTCAGCACACATCTCACGACAGGACTCTTTGTATTGAAGAAGTCGCATGGGTCCGCCAAGCACCCGCGAATATGCATATTTACAGTGTACTGTAAATACATAATTATGTAGGAATAAAGAAATTAAACACACAACACAGGAAGGTTTCTAAAACGACTAGGCCTGGATGGAGACCTTTCGTCTCCATGGAGTGAACTGAAAATGTTCATCGTCATTTTTCATCACAGTTTTATTAGACCATACACAGTCGTTTCCCGCCGTCTGTACGCTTCGAGACTTCGATGACTTCTTTATGACAAATCCAATATGTATTTGACATACGAGATTAACACTAAATCTCAACTGTGGCCCATGGATCTTACAAAATACGCTTTCTTTTAAAGCGATTCTCGTGCGCGTTCACACGTAAAATATAATATCTTTATTTCTTTTCACATTTAATTATGTATAACGTTTATCAAAACTAAAACATAACAATGAAATATACAGTATTTAGAATTTTCTTAATCGACAAAGTAATCATAAAAACTAATAAAAAGTAACATTATTTTGTCGTACGCTTTCTTGATTTTTATGGCAAAAGACTACCTATTCGTCAGTTTCGTAGCTGTTTCTAATGTCAGGTGGAATTAAATTTTCATCGTCGGTGTTGCTTGAAATTTTTGTTAGTAAAGTTTTATCCAACAAAATATTACTCAAACTCGTATGTATGAAATAGCGCCAAAATGGAAAAAGTCTGTTATTGGCCTATTGGCTCGGAACTAGCGCGTTGCGCGCGCAACGTGCTCAACACAGATTATGTATACTTAAATCGAATTGAAACCTCCTTGGTCGGAACACATTGTACTTTAATAATTAAAAAAAAAAGGGTGCGTGTACTTATGTACGCGCGTAAGAAGTAATACTTCTTTGGCATTATTAAAAATAGTTTTTGATTGCATGCAAATAATTAATTACAATTAAATAATCAAAGACTGGAAAAGGAGTCATTATAGTCAATTAAGTTCAGTTTACATTTGAAAAATTAAATAAATTGTACGGTTCCTGGATCATCAGGGGTTCGAAATAATAGAATAATTTGAATTTACTCTATATTTATCACTCGCGTTATACAATAGAATATGAGCGAAATAATAACTATTATGTTAATTGCTATATAATAAGTGCAATCTAACAAGCAGAGAGAGTGCCTACGTCTGGCTATGCTCCCGGGGTGAAACTCCTATGACTTAGTTAATTACGAATGACTGCTGTAACAGTCGAAGAGAGTGCCTGCGTCGGGCTATACTCCCGGGGTGAAACTCCCATGATACAGTTAATTGTAATGATACGAATGACTGCTGTAACAGTCGAAGAGAGTGCCTGCGTCGGGCTATACTCTCGGGGCGTGACTCAATTTTTCTTTTATTGAACGGTACTTTTCCTCTGTTCTTTCAAACTCCATTTCCTGAAAGTATTTATGCTCTGGGCTAAGCTCTATTAACATGCGGTCATGGTTGGATTGAAATTTTTCCCACAAATCTTCCAAACGAACCAGCCGACTCTCAAAATAGTCGGGCTTTCTTTTTCTATCTGCTCCGTCCTTATTGTAGTTATTAATTAATTTTTGAATATCCCCCCATACTGTAAGTTGTTCTTGGTATAACTTATTCATAATGATTTATTAATATAATGCCCCAATTAACAATGGTGTGTAAAAGTGCTGTATAACTTGCCCTTTTTTGAAAGGGATTACCTAGTTATTATGCTGAAAAAACGTCCTTTGCCTTCTTCTAGGTTGGAAGGACGCTGATATATTTTTTGACCGCTATGGGTCCTTGAAAATATTGGGAGCGAACTCACTGTCGCTTGCCTCCCTATTTGACCGCTATGGGTTCTTGAAAATGTTGGGAGCGGACTCACTGTCGCTTTTCTCCCTATCTGACCGCTATGGGTTCTTGAAAATGTTGGGAGCGGACTCACTGTCGCATTTCTCCCTATCTGACCGCTATGGGTTCTTGAAAATATTGGGAGCGGACTCACTGTCGCTTGCCTCCCTATCTGACCGCTATGGGTCCTTGAGAATGCTGGGAGTGGACTTCCTGTCGCCTGCCTCCGTATTTGACCGCTATGGGTCCTTAAAAATGCTGGGAGTGGACTTCCTTTCGCCTGCCTCCCTATCTGACCGCTATGGGTCCTTAAAAATGCTGGGAGTGGACTTCCTGTCGCCTGCCTCCCTATTTGACCGCTATGGGTCCTTAAAAATGCTGGGAGCGGACTTCCTGTCGCTTACCTCCCTTTTCGACCGCTATGGATCCTCCTTCTCCTTGCTCTCCTCTTTTCTATTGATGCGGATGATATTTTCTTACTTGCTTGACGACCCAACAAACCAGCAGTGGGATGTTTTTCCACGGCGCCGATCTTCAGGATGACGGAGAAAAACGCGAACGCGATCAACTGTACGCGAAAGACCCGCTATTCCCGGATAGCTCGAAGGACCAAAATGTACGGTTCCTGGATCATCAGGGGTTCGAAATAATAGAATAATTTTAACTTACTCTATATTTATCACTCGCGTTATACAAAAGAATATGAGCGAAATAATAACTATTATGTTAATTGCTATATAATAAGTGCAATCTAACGAACAGAGAGAGTGCCTACGTCTGGCTATGCTCCCGGGGTGAAACTCCCATGATACAGTTAATTGTAATGATACGAATGACTGCTGTAACAGTCGAAGAGAGTGCCTGCGTCGGGCTATACTCTCGGGGCGTGACTCCGACGATTTAGGAAATCGTCATGCTTATAAGTGATCAAACTGTACAGCCAGGGCACGTACAAACATAGGAAATTGTTATGCTTGTAAATGATTGGAATGTACGAGCCTTGGCACGTACGTAGGGAATAATCACGATTATAAAACTAAGGAAGCCTGAGTGGGCAAAATGTACAGCCTTGGCTCGTACATAAATAATTATTTATTATTATTCTCTTACATTAAGTGTAACATAAATTCTATTTAGTTAAAAGTATATATAATTATATATTTAGAACATCTCTACCAAACACTAAGAAGTATGTTGTAGCTTTGGCAGTATTGCACAATATAAAATTAATAAATTTCTTTGAAAAATTAATCAAAACTCCTTTATTTGTTTAAAAGGTAAATGACAAATGTCATTATGGTCATTCAAAATTCTTGGCATACGAACTTCACGCATATTCTATTTCTTTTTACTTGTAGATTGACTTATTCCTATCTCGCTCGCGCACGCTATAATCACACTCCCAATTTTGTGTCACAGGTGCGCGCGCATCGTAAAATTTCACTCTCATAAATTTTTCATAACGCGCCTAAAGAAGTACAACTTCAAAAATATTTTTAAGCATTTGTTAGGAGAATAATGCTTCAAAAACTACACTCATGTTTTAATACCCTCTATTATATAACAGCTGCATAAACTACTATTTGATTATTTATTTAATGTTCTATAGGGTCCCTGGGTGTTTCCGTTCAACCGTAACGACACATACGACGAGGTATTCCATATTACAAAAGAGAAATCAGTAAGAATTCCGATGATGCACCAAACATCCTATTTCCTTTACGCGGAGGTTCCAGAATTAGACGCTAAGGTAAGGTTTAAAGTATAGAGTTTTATAACTCTTGTAGTTTGCAGATACCGTAAAACCTCTTGGTTTAAATAACCAAGTGCAATAATAGGGATAGCGGGGAAGGATTGGAAAATAATGGCGAGGATGAGAGACAAGTGGAAGTATTTGCAGGAGAGTGGAGACCTTCACTCCATAGGAGGTCGTGTTTTACCAATTTTAAACATAACGACATGGGCTTAATATAATCCTGATTATTAAGTACCCGAATACAAGCTGTTTTTATTTTATTTATTTTATTCACATGTTCGAACACCAAACTTCATGAAACTTTTGTGTACTTAACAGGTAATTAACATATTTTACAGATCCTCCAATTGTTATATAAAGGTGAAGATTCATCCATGATACTGGTGCTCCCCAATGAAATCGATGGAATAACCCAGCTAGAGGAGAAATTACGAGACCGATTAGTACTCGACAGAGCCATTTGTACCATGTACTTAACTAAAGTCGAAGTCACTATTCCTAAGTTCAAAATTGAAACTACAACAGACCTGAAACATGTTTTATCAAAGGTAACTTATTATTTTCTGATACTTTTTAAAACTTGTGTTTTCTATAACTTTTTTAGATAATACTTTGAACTAACTCCTGATTTTAAATCTTCATTTATGTTGGTGAAAATAATAATAACAAAGCCCATTTATTATCTTGACATAATATATACAGTTTAGATTTGTTATATACATTTTTTTCTTGTTATTCTTATATCCTAACTTGCTTTTGTGCCATTGATCGGAACCCCTTCACGGGTAAAGGCCTCCTCCAGCTTTTTCTAAATATCTTTGTCCATTGCTTCCTTTCTCCATTCGCTTCCTAATAAAGCTTCTATATCTTCTATCCACCTTCTTTTTGGGTGCTCTTCTCCTTCTTTCCCTTAGTCCTTTCGATATGGAGAACATTACTCACATAACCTTTGTTTTAAATTATTACTACATTAAATAATCTTATTCTGCTTACATTTTAATGGGCACTTAGAAGAATCCAATTTAGAATTGAATATTTCTCCAGATGAACGTTACGAAACTATTTGACAAAGAAGAAGCCAGTATATGTCAATTGACAAGGGAATACGGTGACTTATTTATAAATGTAGCCATACAGAAGACTTTCATTGAAATCTTTGAGGAAGGCTCAAATGGTGTAGCAGACAACGGTACGTCACGATATAATTCATTATGACAATTAAATATATTTCTAACTCAATTTTGACTTAAATCGGTAAATGAGTATGCTCACTGAGAACAAAGGATTGTAAGGAACAAAAACAAGTGCGACAAAAGACTGTGACTGATTAGTTAAAATAGAGCCTGTATGGCAGGGGTCCGACGGTCAGTAAATATCGTGATCCAATATCACAATACCTGTCTCAATATATATTGAATCAACTCGTGGTACGATACTTTCAATAGATATTGACTTCAATATCGTCAGTAGTCAGAAATCATTTTTCGGAGTAGACTTTTTTTTATAGAACAGGGGGCAAACGGGCAGGAGACTCACCTGATGTTAAGTGACACCGCCGCCCATGGACACTCAAGGGCTCGCGAGTGCGTTGCCAGCCGTTTTTAAGAATTGTTACGCTCTTTTTTCTTGGACCCTAAGTCGAATTGGTTCGGAAATACTTCAGTGGGCAGCTGGTTCTACATAGTGGTGGAGCGCGGTAAAAACTGCCTTAAAAATGCTTAGTTGTGGAACGGCAGACGTCGAGGTGATACCTCCAGCTATTAATCCGAACAACTCCTCCTCCTCCGAACAACTACTCAGCTCCAGGTATTAATCCGAACAACTCCTCTGAACACTATCCTATCACTAGGTAAGTTCATTAAAACAATAAATTTTCGTAAGGGGGCGTCCATAAATTACGTGAGGTGTTTTTGTACCTCCCTCCCCCCCTGGTGAGATGTCGTGAGATTTTATTCAACCCCCTCCCCCATCCCCCAATCTCACGTGAGATTTTTCAAAATATCGGTTTCTTACGTAAACGCGTAAGAAGCTATCTTTTTGAGCTCGGACTTCGGAGGACTCAAAATAACACAGAATTCGTACTATTGAGCTCGAAGAGCTCAAAAACAAAATAAGTGAAATGTTGAGGGTTGGAGTTAGCGGGAAGTTGCAGAGATGGCCTTTAGGGTCAACCGTTTTCCTAAATTTTTTTTTTCAATCAGAAAAAAAATTGCGTGATATTTGCCGAGACACCCCCTCTCTCCGACGTAAGATTAAATGAGATTTGACTCGACCCCCTCCCCCCCCCTTAAACACCTCACGTAATTTATGGACGCCCCCTAATCAGTTATGTACGTTTTTAATAAGCATAAACTAAAATACTTTACGTAGGTTTATTTTGTAAAAACAGTGATCTGACATCTTACTCTGACGTCCAAATCTCAAAATCAAAAGAAAACTAAATATTTATTAGTTTTCAAGGATCACGATATATATTGACTACTTCTAGTGACTATCTAGTCTAGTGTAGTCGAACTCTTAAGTTTATGTACCGCGTGATCCCAAGATTGCAACAGCGCTACGGAAATTGAAAAAACTAGATCGAAGGTGTAAACAAAATCGTCGAGATATCGATGTCGCTGATAATATACTTTGGACTCTCTATGCGAAAGTGTCTTAATAACATTAATAGGTTTTTCAACAACTAAGCGTTTCACTGAAGTATTTCCGAACGAATTAAGCGAGACTTGAAGCGAGAGAGGACCGTAGCAAGTGGTTATCCGATCAGCCTACCCCTTCGAGAAAAAGCCGTGAATATAAAATGTATAGGACTAGTGGATTTTTTTAAATTTAAATCAAAACTATATTTGGCATGAATGCGAAACATGTTTATGTTAAATATTCATTAAAAGACTAAAAGCCAAAAGACAAAAAATGTTTGCCAAATACCAACCCTACATTTAAAACCACATAAGTCGTCATATAAAATAATTTTATAAAGAAAATGTATACGATTAAATAAAAAAAAATACTATATTTAAATTATATATTGCGACGGAGTTTACTCTTTGCACTGTAATGAAACAAAATCAGAAAATGTCTGTCTTACTATAGATCATCTATTTATAAAATAAATAATAGTTTAAAAAAAACTAAAAAACACGCTTTTAAAGCACATCAAACTAAAAAGTGAAAAATAATTCCTAATTTAGGCTGAAAATGGTAATGAACAAAAAATACTGGTATTATTGTGAAAAAGCGTGGGGCGCTCTGTATCGAGCAACCATTTTCAGCCTAAATTAGGAATTATTTTTCACTTTTTAGTTTGATGTGCTTTAAAAGCGTGTTTTTTAGTTTTTTAAATTTTGTTTTCGGATTATTGCATTGTCATCGATCTTTGACAGGTGCGCAAAATTTGAATAAAATCTGTCCGTTTAAAGCGGGTCAAAATCGAGTCCGAAGGAGTCGGTTACATACATACATACATACAGGTGAAGCTAATATAAAGCGTGTAAAAATATGAGTATGATGAAATATAGTATACATGTTTTTTTAATTTAAATTATTATAATGAAGTTGTATGTAACTGGGTAGTCACCGGCTCTTGAAATACAGTTCTCACTACATTAGGAGCCTGGGTTACACGTTTCTTATATAACCTTAAAGGCCGGCAACGCACTTGCGAGCCCACTGGCAACGTTCTATGGGGGCTGTATCACTTAACATCAACTGCTCGTTTGCCCCCCTTTTGCACAAAAAAAAATTATGACTTACATACTTTTTATGACAGTAAATATGTTTAAGTGGATGTCACTGGCCTTGACTTATATATTACACAACATTCTTTCAATAACTGTTCGATAATTTTCTGTAAATACTTTATTATAATTCGAATGTTTTTTTCAGATTTCGATACTAAACTCCCAGCATACGGTTCCTCCTTATCGTCTAATATATTCTTTGCTGATAGACCATTTTACTTTGAAATAAGGCTTAGCGATTTAACCATTTTTAACGGCGTTAAAGCTGAATAATATTGAACTTGACTTGTATTTAACCATTTTTAACGGCGTTAACGCCTTTAGTACACCTACGCGTTCGTCTGCGGCTGCGAATCTTTGCGAAATAATTGCGGTAGCGAAATATCTGCGGAACGTTAGTACACTGCAGGTTTTTCACAAGGATATGTCATTGTAGCTTTCGTGGGCTGTAGGTGCAGACGTCGTTTCAGAATGTCATCTGAGTCGTCCCAGTCGTCGCTTTCAGATTCTGAAGAGGATTTTGTAATCAACATGCCCAACTAAATATAATTCGGGATAATTTCGAATCAAATTCAATAATAATTCAATATTTTCGGCTTCCATTGTGCGAAATTCTGTCCTCACTGACAGAACGCGTGGTGACGCCTTGCGATGCGAAACTTCACTAGCGAAACGTCTGCGTCTGTGTAACAGCCATTTCGCAGTTACTTGCGAAACAATACCGACAAGGACGCAACTATTTCATATAGCTATATATTAGAGCGAGACAAAACATGCGAAACGTTGTCATACAACTTACAGTTTTTTCGTCGTTTCGCTGCCGCATGCGATTGCGTAGGTGTACTAAAGGCGTAAAGCTGAATAATATTGAACTTGACTTGTATTTAACCATTTTTTACGGCGTTAAAGCTGAATAATATTGAACTTGACTTGTATTTAACCATTTTTAACGGCGTTAAAGCTGAATAATATTGAACTTGACTTGTATTTAATCGTTTTATACGGTGTTAAAGCTAATTAAAATTACTTTCCTGAGAGGAAGCTGACATTTATTTAATAAAGTGTTATGTATTTGAATTTGTTGTTTTAAACGTGAAATGAATACTTATATATTTATAGATAAGTCTTACCGCTTTGTTAGATTTCTGTATTTCAGAAACGTGTTTGATTTTGACGTAAAATGCGATTTCTTCGATACAAAGGGTCCCTTCGTGAGTTGTGTGCTGCGATATTAGGGGGCCATTGTGAGGAAGTTGCATGGATCTGGTTAGCGCTGATATTATAAGGTGGATAAAGAAAAGTAAGTAAAAGTGGCAAAAAGCTTCTCCTCATCAGATAGGTTACCGACCTGCCTGTATGGTGACGTCAAACATCTGAACTCCTTCCTGATTCATCATTTTATGGGTACAAAAGTATTCTTTTTAAATCTCCCATTTAAAAGAATTTCAGTAAAGAAATTTTATTAATAATATTTATTTACAAGTTGTTCTTCAAACAAATAAAAAACTTAAAGACCTCGTTGATCTCCATTCATTAGATGCCGCTACTCGAGCAGTTCTGGTGAACGCTATATACTTTAAGGTAATAAAGTATATAGTGTTCTACTATATCATGTGTAATAATAAATCAAATATATTAAATTCTCGTGTTGCGGTGTTTGTAGTTAAACTCCTCCGAAACGGCTTGACTGATTCTCATGAAATTTTGTGTGCATATTGGGTATGTCTGAGAATCGGACAACATCTATTTTTCATCTCCCTAAATATTAAGGGTAGTCCACCCCTAAATTATTATTTTTTTACTTTTAGATACAATTTAAAAAAAAGTATATTTTTTATGTTACAGCATTAAAAAATACAAAAAACCCCTAATTTTCACCCTTCTACGATCAACCCCTATTTTTTATTATAAATGATATATATGGCAAAACGACGTTTGCCAGGTCAGCTAGTATACATATAAAAAAGTAAGCTTTGGACACCATGGTCTCCATTGCCAAAAGAGTACAGGTCGTTTTTCTCACCACGCCGCGCTCAACGCCATTATACGCCGCTCTCGTGTTTGACATACGGAAGGAACACTTAGCGCTGATTCTGTATTATCAATTCTGTACAGGGTTTACACAGGGAATACGTAAATCTATCATCTCAAATATTAAAAATTAATTTATCTTACTTAATTAAATTCTCTTGAGCTTGTTTATAATATATTTTATTTTCAATTATAAAGGTGCACTGCCACACTGGGCAGTTTATTATTACTTTGTAGGTAGGTAGGTAAAAAAATTGTAAATAGTGTATACTTGATTGTAATCAATAAAATTAACATACATTTACAAATGTTCCTCTATAGCCTATATATAAAGCTGGAACTTTTGTTTTACTGTAAAACTCTGAATGTTTGGTCAACCTTGATAGAATAACGGAAACAATAACTTAGAGGTAGTAATAATGCGGAAATGGAGAGACTAGCGGAGCGGACGTAGCAAGCGGTCGCAATTGCTTGCAGTGACCCGAGCTCGTACAAATTTACTGAGAGAAGCGTCATTTACGCGTGTCTTGCGCACCCTGGATATTATTGCATGTGAGACATGTATTTAGTTTCACGCTAGCTGAATTCACAAGAATTGCATTATTTAAAACTAGTTATAAAAAGGTTTATTTTTTTTGGTTTTATTTATATTATGTTTTAGTTTCATTTTTATATTAATAAGTTATCCATCGTATTAGTAGTAAGTAACTGTCAAAATAGGAAATAAATAAATATAAGAAGGACTAATACTAGGACGAACCTAGATAATAATAAATATAAAACACAATTTAAAAAATTAATAGAATCGTTCGCGCTCAGATTTTTCACATTTCATTAGTACGTTTTAATTGTGTAATATATGTGTGCTGTTGTAATTGGCCACAGCTCAGCATTATGCTGAGAAGCAGACTGTTCCACAGCGCTGGTCTTTCTGCCAGAGACCACAGCAGGTAGATATGCATTGCGCATATCCTTCCGCGGCGCAACTGCATAGTGCGAGAGGGTTATGTAGGACTAGCTACTGTGAATACCCACTAAAACCCCAAGGCACTACCAACAATCGCCTTAGACGGGATGCGGTAACAGCAGAGCCTTATCCGCTTCCCAACATGCGATGCGGCGGGTGCGTCCACCTCCCCACGCCCATTGTTAGTTTGTGAAGGTGCACAGCACAGACACAGCAAGTATCCTTCGCAGACTGGACCATTCGCATTAGTAATAGCTAGGGCAGATCGGGTCCAGTACTTGCAGGGATGGATCACCAACCCTTCCATGGACCTTCCTCGCTTGGGCACTTTTTAAGTGGCAAAAATTTTAAGCGCGTTGCGCCGGGGCTTCTTTGCCTTGACCTGACTTAATGTCCTACACCCCATAGATAGGGCAGAGGTCTTCCACAACGAGTCTCCATTTTTATTTCTTTGATGGTATAAAGAAGGAATTAATTAAATAATTTTTCTTACAAAAATAGTCGTTTGAGATTAAGTGATAGGCTATTGGAGATCATACCTATCCAGGCAGTGTCTAAAGGCAAGCAGTTCCACGGTCAAACCATCCAAATCGTGTAGTGCGGCACTTGGGAATGTCACAGGTGAAACTCCAGCGTAAACGTTATCAAGTGTAGTTCCAAGGAGCATTCTCCAGGGTGCAAACCAAAGAAGACTAAAGACCGTGATAGTTGTAATAGTCTGTACTTCTCGAATCGAGCTGCTCCGCCAACGTTGTAATTAAACCAACAGTAAAACCATTTTAAACGTCTATATAGGTACATAGTTAAAAAAAACTTAAATTTCAGACTTAACGATATTAAAATAGTAATTACTTCTTTAAACTTAAAGTTACGTTGAAGTTTTATTATTATTAAGCCTTTATTGCTGACACCCAGTATAATATAATATATATATATATATATATATATATATATATATATATATATAAACACTTGTTTAAGTTACATAACCTAACTTAATTGCTGATGTATTCAGCGTGTCCTGTGACACATATACCTCTTCCAGCTGCTTCCATTATTTTCTAATGTTAGCTCGTCTTGTCCAAGTTGTGCCTCCTATTTTTATATCGCCTGCCCATCTCAATCTCTGTCTCCCTCTCTTTCTTTTTCTATCTCGTGGTTGCCATTCTGTATTAATGTCTGCCATTTCAACCTGCTGTCTCTCGTCATGTGTCCGGTCCAGCGCCTTTTCAATTGCCTTATTTTATTTTAATAACTTTGGTCGTTAATCGTACCTGTTCTGTTCTAAATTTCAGACGATATCCAAATAATAATAACTTCTTCAAACTTAAAGTCACCTTGAAGTTTTGCGCTTGACTTAAATCATATTGTATTTGCACTGCGCGTTTGTTTTTAATAATTTGAAATACACAAGAGCAACAAAAAAGAAAGAGCAAGAGATCATACTAGAGAAGTTATACAAACAGCCAATTGCGATAACTGAAGCAATGTACAAGGACGGTAATTACCGTGTGTGACAATGATAAATCCAAAGTCGAATTTAAACAATTAAAGTCGAATTTTAGTCGCACTTATAAGACACTTCTACTTATTCAACAAAAGTCCCACGAAATTTAGTTTAATATATCTACTTATTTACAATTATTCTTATTTTTAACTTTTAATTTTATTTTATTTATTATACACCGTTACAGACGATTTACTCACACTTCTAACTTTAATATTATTATTAATATTTTTCTACTTGGTATTATTATTATTTATTTTATTTTATTAGAGGCGCAAACTAGCTGCTGTGGTCTCTGGCAGAATGACCAACGCTGTGGAACTTTTTGCTCCTCAGCATAATGCTGAGCCAGGGCCAATTACAACCACAGTACACACACATTTCACACTGGAAGCGAACCGAATGGCAAAAGAAATTTTTTTAATATTAATTTTTATTGTTTTTGATGTCTTATTTTATTTTATTTTTTCTTTAAGTGTTGTTATTTTGTGTGTTTAAGTGTGTGTGTGTTTTCGTTTGTAATAAATGTTATGTCTATGTCTATGTCTAAAACCTTAATCTTACTAAAGGAAGTAAGGAAGTCCAGGGTGATGACGAAGATGATTAATTAGATAACTTAGAAACTAAATCATTTTATTTTTTAATTTTATCTTGGGAAAATTATAATAAATAGTTTATAAATTAAATAATATAAATCAGTCTAAATGAAGATGTAATGATAATTAGATTAGTTATATATTCAGATAAATAAAACATTATAATAGTTTA